ATAATAATAATAATAATAATAATAATAATAATAATAATAATAATAATATATCGCGATTAGTCTCGTAAACGGATACCACAGGCAAGAATCGTATCTCGGCCTTTATCGTTCGTAGACTCGGTTATATCGTCCAGAAACTAATTACCAGAGTGGTCGTCGGCGGCACCTCGTGTGCCAAATGGTTCTTCGCGGTTTCGATGTGGACGGTAACTACGACAAAGCAAAGCGCATTACGAACGAAAGCTAGAAGGAAGAGAGGTCGTCTCTGCATTCCACCTTCTTCCTCTTCGCTCCCCCCTCCTCTCTCTCTCTCTCTCTCTCTCTCTCTCTCTCTCTCTCTCTTACTCTTTCTATCTTCCTCTTAGGAACGACAAACGCTCGTCTCTCATCGACTAACGGCACGGAAGAAAGTTTTGTGATCGCGAAGCACCGCGTACTCGTCGTCGTCGTCGTCGTTCGTTCGTTCGTTGTTATTGTCGTCGCACGTCGATCACGAAGAACGCGGCACGTACGTTGGTTGACGATGCAACATGGCGAGCGAATTCTATTCGTTTCGCTGCCAGAAGAAAAATCCGATTTGCGGTAAAACCTTTTTTCGGATAAAGAAACGGTGATCTTGGCAATGCCGACGACTCGAATGAGAAAGAGAGACGGAGAAAGGAAGAGAGAGAAAGAGAGAGGGGAGGGGGAGAGAACCATTCATGAATCGACATCGTAGGAAGCTCCTGTCAGGATGCCATCAAAGCGTGACCGGATTTGTCTCATCCTTGCTGGATACCGGCCACGATTTTCTCTGATCTTCAACCGTTCTTTCCTAGCTCTTTCTCTCTTTCTGTCTCACTCTCTTTCTCTCTCTCTCTCTCTCTCTCTCCCTCTTTCTATCTAATCTCTGTGTCTACCTCTTTTTCGTCTTCCGTTTCCGTTTCACAGTAACTTCTTTTCTACGGAAACGCGACTGTCTTCCGTGTCTCCGAGCCAACGTAATTAAACTTAAAATCGTCCCCTTTTCATCGTCCCTTATCCGAAGAGTGCGAGATTGAAGATGGGTAAGTGGATAGGAGAAGAAAAGTAAAAGGAGAAAAAGAAGTAGATACTTTGTAGACGTCAAGCTGTCACGCACAGCCGTGGCCGTAGGTCGGATGCTACGAGTCACGCTCTATCCTTGAGAAAAGTTAACCCTAAGTACAATCCTTTTGCATCTTCCCTTCCTTCTATCCTTCCTTGTTCCTTCCTATCTACCTAATACCTACTTACCTACCTACCAGCCTACCAACCAATCTTCTCACTCTTTATATCGCGCTTTTTCTCTTCCTCTTCCTATATATCGTGCCTTTATGCCACGTTAACGGGCAAACACGATCTTACACGCGATCGGCGTTACTTGAATATCGAAACCGTGGCTGAGCTAATTGTTTCGCCGAGCAAAATGGAACGCTGCTTGCCGTTGGAAATTCTCGTCTTAAGTGATTTAATTACCGCAACGAGATATATTACAAGATTTTAATTATACGATTCATCGGGTGAACGATACGGTAGGATAATTCTCCTTTGAGGATCGTTAAAAGTCCGCTTTAAGAGAGGGCACGAAGTCGGAGATCGACGAGGAGAGTGCAAAAGAAATAAAAATTAAAGCCGATAAAAGAGAAAGATAGATAGAGCAGTAGAAAGAGAACGTTGAAAACATTGTTTTTTTTTTTTCTTTTTTTTTTTTTTCATTCGACGATCGAACGAAACGAACAACGAAGTGCCGTATCGCGACGTTAAAATTGAGGTGAAGAATGGTCCTCTGATGGGATTTGTTCCGCCTATGGTGGTATCTACGACTGCGATGAACGTAAGAACGCTTCAACATGAAACGAATGCCACGGCTCGTCGATTATTTCGGACGTTCTTGCGGCATTCTTGTTTTGTCGTTCGGTGGAACGAAAAGATTTCTACGCTCGTCGGCCGGGTGTAAAGCGATACATGTATCAACGTAGACGGGAAGATTCGATAAAAGAATCTCGTGGAAGAAAGAAAAAAAAAAAAAAAAGAAAAGGAAAATATTACGACGATAGAATTAATGGTAACTTGTAAGAAAGTGAGAATCGTCGAACGTGCTTCCGCGATATGAGTTCGAGGTGTACTTTTCAAAAAGCAATCGACCAATCGTCTTTCTATTCTTCCTCGATCCGTCCGTCTTTCTTCAAAGTCGAATGTGACGGTCTTTGATCTTCGCCTTGAATCTTGAACCTTATAAGGTAATGATTCATTTTCCAAGCTAATTTGCGCAATAACCCATTATAATGGTCTGAAAAGGCTCTAACGGGTAGCTTCAAAGATTTCTACGAAACAATACCGTTCTTCTCTTAGGAAGACGTAGCAACTCATTCGTTGTTTAATTAATGCTCACAGTCCGCGCTTCTACGGCCGACGTAGTTTATATTAATTACACCCCGGAAGATTCAATTAGTATGCCTCTTATTACACTTATACCGGTATTCATTATTCATGAGGAACCACTACGATGGTTGCCAGCAGCTGACAATGTAGATTGTACTTTTAATTCGTTTTCAAAATAAAGAAGCAGAGAAGTTCGATAAAAACTGTGAATGCATCGGTCGGTGGCCCCCGTCAATCCCCCTTCCCTCCGTCCCCATAGATTCGTTTAACGATCTCTTTACGCTGGCTAGCGTCGATTTTACAAATGTTTTTGTTCCCTACGCGTTAGTCCAAATTGTTTTTTTCGATTTACCCAGAACGCAAATGTTGTTCCACCGAAACGATACGTGTACATTCACGCTCTTCCGAATTCTTTTATTTTAACACACTGCGATGGGCATTATTCGCGTTGTCGATAACAGGAACGTTAACGCTAACGAATTGTCGAGTGCATGAAACCACTACATTTATTGCTACCATCGAGGCGCATTAATGTTTTACTCTTTCGTTTTAACGAATGCCGTAGTATAATCTTGGAATTGTGAAATCTGCGTACTCGTTCGTTTTAATGGATATCACTAAGATTTAATCTTTTTCTGTAAACTTTATATAAGTCTTAGCCAAAGTAGATAGTGAAGATTAAAAATCAAAGATATGCTATCTTAAGCAAAGGGTCGTAATGGAATGAACGAAGAATTACGGAACGAGTCGATGGATATTGCAGATGAGAAGTGCATTAACGATTACCAAGATTCAAAGCTTTCTCCGTTCGATATTCATTGGATAAAAAGAATTAACTTGGAATCAGTGTCGCGTTAAAAAGATTTGCATCGATCCCTTCGGCCTTTTAATATAATTCCGATCGCATTTTATTTAAGATCCATACGAGTTTGTTGCAAGAAATTGGTCATTTGATTTTTCTTTTTTTTTTTTTTTTTTTTTTTTCTTTTTTTTTTCACAAGAGATCGTAGATGTTCTCCTTTGAATGTAATAAAATCGATAGAAACGTTTACTAGAAAAATTAAGTAGGTATAAACGAGTACTCCTTATTTTTCATTGAAAGGAATTCAAACGTTTCAATGATGAAAGGAAGCTATTCGCTGAACGATAGAAAAAATAGAAAGACAGAGAGGGAGAGAGAGAGAGAGAGAAAGAGAGAGAGAGAGAGAGAGAGAGAGAGAGAGAGAGAGCAAAATGAACATTGACTCGTTATCGCCCGATATCGGGGAGATAATGTTTCCATTTATATAACGTGAAATTTTGCTCTTCGAATCAACGATAATTATTCTATACTATTAAAACATAGTGGTCCACTTTTAATAATATTTTTATTCATTATATCAATTATAATGAAATTATTTTATTATCTTTTATACTTTTTATCGAATAAAATGACCAATCTCGTGCGAGTATTGGCATTAAGTCCATTCTCCAAAAATTATTAAAATTTGATGTAGACACGTTCTTAAAAAATGCCATTAAGCATTATATAATTAATTAATAATGAGTTTCACAAAAGTGTCGGGAAGACAGTTAACAGAGATAGAATATTTTACCGATGGTATTTTGACCATGAAATTATAAATTGAATTTGATAAAACGATAAAGAGACGAAATATTATTCGTAAGACCTCGCGGTTATTTACATAAGCTAATGCTCGCTGTAAGAGCGTAAGACGGTCGTTATTATTCTTCTCGCGTATCTTGGAACGCGCGACGATGTCTGACACGCGTCGGTCTCTTTCCACTTAGAGCCATGAACCGCTGTCTCCGCGGTGCGTTTGCATTGCTAAGCATCTTGATTCTCATTCAATGGAAAAAAAAAGAAAAAATGAAAGAGTCACGAAAGCCGTTTAAAAACATTCTCACCGCCTACACGCCATCGTTCACTTTGGTTCTATGCTTTTCATGATCTTTAAACCGATTATAATCTCTATGGATAGATTGTTACTTTATAAAATCTAATTAATCGTAGGAAATTTTTATCTAATTAGTTTTATCTCGTTTTAAGCATTTTAATAGAATTTCCCTATTAATAAACGTCCGCGAAATTTTTTTTTTTTAAATAATTGAAAGACCTGGTCAACGATCAATCGTTATCGAATATGTCTACGAAATGGACATTTCCTTACAATCCTTTCTATTTAGATTATAGCTATTGATGATCGTAGCATTCTGGTATTTCTTTTAACGACTTCTACCGTGGAATCATTAAGCGTTACGAAGGAAAATGACCTTATACATCCCGAAATACGACTTCTCCGTTCAGCAATTCCACGCAGGAATACTTAAGTAGCTCGTAGAATATTCGTAGCTATGCATATATACATACAACGTTGATGTCGTCTTCGTCGTCGTCGTCGTCGTCGTCGTCGTAACGTATAGAGAGAAAGAGGACAAGTTCGTAACGGAAGAAGTCGAATCGACGAGTCTCTTCGAATAGTCGACGTTTCTCTACCTTCCCAGTTCCCTCTCATGTCCCTTTTTTCTTTATTCCCTTACTCCTCCTACGTCCCTTTAACCCGTTACGGTGTTCTTCTCAACGAACCGTTTCCCGGTCGATAACGATTCAATCTTACCTGGATTGCTGTCGGCGTTAGAGCTGAATAGAACGCAAAGACCGGTCTCGTAGTTGACCGCCTGGCAAGAATCGTTCGCTTGACAGGTTTCGAGACAGTCGGTGAGCATCAACGTGCCCGGTATGGACTCGAGCATGTTCGTGGGCGCGGTGTATACATAGCCGGTAATCAGCTCGAAGCCGACCATCTCTGGATCGCATTCGTCGGCACCGGCTGACGGCCCGGTGTAATCCGGCCCTGAGACGCTAGTGGGTACCGATGCCGAGGGCGGTGGATCGGCCGCGTGAGCAGTTTCTACTGCCTCGGCCACGTGTACCACGTGCCCGGACCGAATGCTTGCTTGTAAAAGGAGTAGCAAACCGAGCACTTGTCGATGAAAGCACTGTTTTCGATTCGTCATTTTGATCGGGATATGATCTATCTTCTTCTTCGAGCTTTCTTCTTTTATTGTCAATTACGTAATCTGAAAAAGAAAAACAAAACGAAAAGGATTTAATCTGAGATTTTCTTTCTATTTTAAAAGGTATGAGAGAAGTATATAGATATATATATATATATAAAGATGGTGTATGTGTATATGTATATATATATATATATATATATATATATATATATATATATACAAATAAAGAAAGAGAGAAACGTGTCTTTCCGTAAAATCAAAGCAGGTCGAAGTCGCTCGCGCGGATCGAGTAGAACGAGAAGAGGACGTAGAAAAACATGTCGAGGGAGAACTTGATCCGCGAGTTTATGCGCCGTAATCGACGTCCATCCGCCATCGGCGCGTACCGAGTGCGTGCTAGGATGATCGCGTGAACGTCGTCGACCTCGTTCCACCGGAACGCCTTTGATGAAATATACCGACTTAATTTCGCGAGTTGTTCTTTATAAACGATCATCATCACGCGTCAACGCAAACTTTTTTTTTGACTTATTCTCCAACATTTGTCTGAGGAAAATAAGCAAAAAGATAAAATGAAAATAAATGAAAGAAAAAGAAGGAAAAATCGTACCTACGTAATAGTTTTTCGTTCGTAACGAAGGAGCGCACCCGCACACTGGAAATTCTCTAGGTTTGTATAAGTATATATGTATACATATATTCTCCTTTGTAGCTCGCTACGATCGCGATCGGCGTGTCTCACAGGCGGAAACTAAATTCCACGTTGAAGTGTTTTCTCACGAGAAGAAGAAGAAGAAGAAGAAGAAGAAGAAGAAGAAGAAGAAGGAGAAGAAGAAGAAGAAGAAGATGCAGAGGAGGAGGAGGAGGAAGAGGAGGTCGTATAACACGTTGGAAGGAGAATGTGCGCGCTGGCGCTCGCGCGATTACACACAATGGAGAAACGGTAAAACGCGCACACTGCGAATGCTGGAGCGCGATGGTAACAACAGAAGTAGTAATGTTGGTAGTAGTAGTAATAGTAGTAGGTAACAGCAACAGCAGCAGCAAGAGCAGTAGCAACAGCAACAGCAGTAGGAAAATAACAACAGCAACAACGGCGACGTAGACGACGTTAAAAATAAAAAAAATATGTAGAAAGGGGGCAACGCGTTCTGTTCTGAAATGGGACAGCTACCAACGTAGTTGGCAGTAGCCAGCCAGGAACGCAGAGAGTATTTATTTATCGCGTACGCGTGTCCAACCACTTCGAAATCGGTTGACTTGCGGCCCGACACGAGGGTCGACGATTTGCAATGGTAATGTACGTTCTCCGCGAGACGTTGCGGCTTCCTTGCCGGGGTACAAGAAGCGAGCTACGGGTGAACTACGAGCGAGCTACGAGCAAGAGGGTATAACGATGTCGACCGGCTGGCGGCTCTTAGGCACACTGCGTGTCGGATACACCTGGCCGTGTTCGCTCGGGCTCCTCTTCCTCCTCGAGCGGACTGAAGACGTCTGTTGGGTCTTGCGCGCGCGCGCGCGCGCGTTCACGCGGTTACGGGGGAAGGGGGATTGGGGCCTCCGGAGGGATCCGGTGGGGTCCACTGGGGCCCGGAGGGGGTCCAGACGAGCTCTCGGGAGGGTATCGAAGGGGCCCGAGTACTCCAGCCGCCACTACCTAAGGAGGACAGAACGGTACGCACAATTCGATCGCGACACCATTCGAAACATCGTGTTCCTCTTTCCTTCTTTTTCCCTCCTTTCTCTTGTCTCTGCTTCCCCCTCTTTCTCTCTCTCTCTCCCTCTCTCTCAATATTTCTCCTACCGTCCCTCTTCTGTCTCCCTCTACTCTCATTCGTCGATCACGAAACTTGCGTGTTGTCGCTCATTGTCGAATTCCTCTTTCCTTGTTTGTATCTCTCACTTTGGCACGATCATCGGACTAAATTTTATCTAACGGGAACATTAATGAAAAGACCGTCTCACCCAACCTCAAAACCTCTTTTTCTTTTTTTTCTTTTTCTTGACTTCGCTCGCGCTTTTTCTCTTCTCGTATTCTTTTTTTTCTTCTTCTTCTTCTTCTTTTTCTTTTTCATCTGTTTTTTATTTTTCCTCATCTTCGGTCTATCTTTCATTCTTCCGCTTTTGCTTCCATGTATGCTTCTTTCTATCACTTACGTGGATCGAAGGAGTATTTGAGAAACGGTATTTTCGTCGACCGTTGTCGCATTGTAAAGCTGCGATCACCATAAAGATATTCGTGTCGATTTTATGCGTGGGCGTTTCGAGTTCTCTGAACTCCAATGCTTCTCATAGATTTGACCTCGGCAAAGATATCTAACTGTTCAACTTTGATCGTTCACCGATTTCCTGATACTACGTCCGCCTGTTCGACTGGATTTGGATAGACGTGTGATAAGTATTGTACTACCGGTAGTATATTAATAATAACGACAATTATCGCGTTAATGATCTTTTTTATGTACCACAGATTAAACGTACTTAAGTGTACAAAGTAGAAACATCATTAAAGAAGCTATGTAGCTTCGAAGCGGCCTCGCAGTAAGAGTAATAATAATGATTATTATCGCTCGAGCTTTATTGTACGTAGAAGCAAAACGACATGGATATTCGCTCGGTCAAAAGGCCCCTTTACAATCGTAATTAATAATCACTGGCAATCGGCTTTGTACGGAATAACAAATGACTTCAACGTCAAGCAATTTTTCATATTCCGTCTGAGAGACCATCGCATATCGTAGTCATAGGTACTGCATAATTCGGCACATTCCTCTAAGCGCTTCGAGCTAAGCGCTGCTCTCTCTCTACTAATATCTCTCTCTCTCTCTCTCTTTTCCTCTCTCTCTCTCTCTCTCTTTTCCTCTCTCTCTCTCTCTCTCTCTATCTATCTATCTATCTATCTATCTCTCTTTCTCCTTCTCACTTCCTCCCTCCCACCTCCCTCTTTCCTAACTCGACCACAATGCGGCGGAAGTTCGACCGTTCGTTTTGGAGAGCACCGTTGCACCGAATCGGCTGCGAAATTAATTTATTTCGCGGAACCCCGGAACGTTAGCTCGTTAAGGACTTTGGAATACGCTTAATCCTGTGAGCAGCGCGAAATAGTTCGACGTACTCTTTGCACCTCTAGGAAGAGAGAGAGAGAGAGAGAGGGAGAGAGAGAGAGGGAGGACGATTTGGATAAAAGCAATTCCTTCTCGTTGTAGTTACCAACGATAATGTTCGCACTTGGAACGGGAAAACAAAACATATTACAACTGTCCTATGAAAATGAGAGAGAAAAAAACAAAAGCTTGAAATACTATTATTATAATAATTATCTTCTCAATCTGTTTCTTCCACGAGGCAAGGAGAATAAAGTATATACGGCGTATCTAGGCGTTAATGATCTCTACCGGAGTGTCGATAATTACAACTTCAACTTCTCTTCAGCGTAACTGGTTCGAAGAGGTGAAGTTTTAAAAGGGAGGAAACGAAGGCGAAGCTTCGAGGAAAACGGAGGGAAATGGGAAAGAAGGCAAAGAGAACAAAATGTCCAATGCACGTGTGAACATTGCGACCCAGCGTTAGAAGAGGCATCAGTGTCTTTGGATATGGTCTTGGTCGATTCATGCGCGACTGCTGCCACCGCCACCGCCACCGCCACCGCCGCCGCCGCCGCCGCCGCCGCCGCCGCCGCTGCCATCGCTGCCGCCACTGTTGCTTCGAGAGACTCTCGTACCGTGGAAAAAGAGAAAGAGAGAGACAGAGATAGGGAGACAGAGACAGAAACACGAAGCTCGTTGAACGGAGAAGGAAGAAGAAGAAAGGAGAAGAGGAGGGGAGAAGGCAGAAGAAAAAGGTCGGGAAGCGAGAGTGGGAGATCGAGTGTGAAAAGGAAAGAGAGAGAAAGAGGAAGAATGAAGGATGGATAGAAAGAAAGAGAGAGAAAGAGAAAGAGAAAGAGAGAGAGAGAGAGAGAGAGAGAGAGAGAGAGATAGAGAGAAAGAGAAAGAGAGAGAAAGAGGTAGGGCGAACGGAACTCGTACCAGGTGCCTACGCCATCGCGTCACCGCGGCTCTCTCGAAGTAACGGTTTCTGGATGTCCCATCGGGTTCAATCGCGATCTCGAGCCATGGAATTTCGCCGGAAAACGATCGTTTCTACGACGGGAGGAGGTCCGAGAGGACGATGAAGGCGGCGTCGAAGAGGTTCGATTTACGACCGACCGCTATCCATTCGCCCTTGAACGTCCGTTCGACCCAATGTCCTGCTCTCGACCTGTTCCCTTAGGATTATTCGTATAAAAGAGAAAGAAAAAGAGATACTTATCCCTTCGGACTTTTACTCGTACGGCTTCATAATAAAGATGGTAATAGAGGCAACGAATCCAATCGACGTTCTGATCTTTCTCTTTTTCTTTTTTTTTCTCTCTCTCTCTCTCTTTCTCTCATTCTCATTCTCTCTCCCTCTCTTTCTCTCACTCTCACTCTCACTCTCTCTCTCTCTCTCTCTCTCTTTCTCTTTCTCTTTCTCTTTCTCTTTCTACTTGTTCATTTTACGAGGACTGCTATCGTTACTGAACTTCAATCGAGTTTTTACGCCCATTTAGAACCTTCTTCTTTTTCGTCTCCTCTTGAATGCCTTCCTATATCTCGTCCTTGTCATAGACAAAACGCAACTGCGATCCTGTTCGTTAGTGGTTTCAAGGGATATAGTATAGTACTACGAAGAAGAACTGGGAACTCGTTAGCTTACGTGCCTTTCGGAATCACTGAAAATTTTACGGCATTTAACGAACGCGTTTGTCGATTATTATTATACGTAGGAAGACATAAGAAACGAAGAACGGAAGCGGATGGGAAGATATTTCTCTCGTGTGGGCTCACTCATTTCCAATGTAAAATGAAACGGGAATGCTTATCGTTCTCAGTCTGTCTATCTGTCTGTCTCTCTCCCTTCTTCTCTCTTTCTCTCTTTTCCTTTCTTTTTTTTTTCCGTGCCATTGAACTTTCGTCTCGACGAAAATATATATATATATATATATATATATATATATATGTATATATTTCTCAAAACTC